GGACCTCGCCCCGCCAGTGCTCCTCGAACGCCGCCGCCGCTTCCTCCGCGTCCTCGTCGCCCATGGCGGGCCGCGCCGTACCCCCCTCGCCGCCGCCGCCGCCGCCGCCCAAACTTCCCAGCCGCTCCGCGCCCCGGGCGCCTTCCGCTCGCTCGCTCGCTCCCTCGCCGCGCTCCTCCCGGGCCAGCCCCTCTCCCAGGGCAGGGACCCGCCTCCCGGGCCCGGCGGGCGGGGCTGCGCGCGCACAGGACGCTCCGGACCGCGTGGCCGCCGCCGGCGGGGGAAGAAGAGTCCCGCTTCCCGCCAGCCGCGGGGCCGGCTTCAAGCCGCCACGGAGGCAACTTCCGCGGCCGGGAGCACGGTGGTTTCAGTCTAGAGTGACCCGCCCGCTCTGGGTTGGTTGGGAAATACCTGGAGATTGGGGCGGGGAGGAGGGGGGGGGGAGCTCAGCAGTGTGGCATGCTCTCAAGTCCACCTTCCAGAGCAGCCATTTTCTCCGGGGGAACTGATCTCGGTCACCTGGAGATCAGTTGTAATAGCGGGAGATCTCCAGGCCCCACCTGGAGAGGTTGGCAGCATTGTTCCCTCTAAGCTGAGTTAATTTTTTTAGCCTCCGGCTCACATATATGTGCCTTCGCTCAGGAAGGATGGCACCAGAGCAAACTGATCTATGCAGTAGCCAAATCGCTCGCTCACAGCTCTAAGGCCAGTAGCTCACAAAGTAGAATTTTGGCTCAAAAGATCCCACAGCTTAGAGGGAACATTGGTTGGCAGCCCTAGCGCTGGTTACTAACAATGTTCCCTCTAAGCTGTGGAGTCTTGTGAGCAAAAATACTACTTTGTGAGCTGCTGGCATTAAAGTTGTGAGTGAGCGATTTGGCTGCTGCATAAATTAGTTTGCTCTGGAGCCCTCCTTCCTGAGCTAAGACAAAAATGTGTGAGCCAGAGGCTAAAAAACCATGAGCTAGCTCACACTAACTCAGCTTAGAGGGAACACTGGTTACTAATAATGGGCACCTAGGGATGCCAGCCTCCAGGTGGCACCTGGGGACCCCCGGAATTTCAGCTCCACTCCAGGCTAGAGAGACAATGGATGCTTTGGAGGGTGGCCTCTTTGGCACTGTATCCTTCTGGGGTCCCCGTCCTCCCCAGGCTCCACCCCCAAATCTCCCAGAGTTTCTCAGCCTGGATCTCGCAACCGTACCCCCTTATCCCCCCCACCAGTGGCCAGGGGGACCTGGCAGCCCTGAGAGCAGGAGCAGGAGAATGCGTGGAAAAGGCTGGCATGGGATGCTCTAGAGAAGGGTTGCCAGCTCCAGGCTGGGAAATTCCTGGAGATTTGAGGACGGGGACCCCAGTGGGTTACAGTGCCACAGAGTCCACCCTCCAAAGCATCCCTTTTCTCCAGCGGAACTGATCCCAGTAGTCTGGAGATGAGCCGCAATTCCAGGGGACTCCCCAGGTGCCAACCAGAGCCTGGCGACGGGTCCCTAGAGAACTGGGTTGAATTATGAGAACATGAGGGGGAGGGGGAGGACCACAAGTGGTCCTTCTAGTCCAGCCAATAAAGGTACTGTATTTGTATTTGTAGTCCAGCACCGTGTTTTCCTGACAGTGGTCAGCCAGATGCCTCTGGGCAGGCAGGGGCGGCAGCACCCTTCCACTCCCCGACGTATCAACTTCACTGCCTCTGGACATGGAGGTTCTGTTTGGCTAGCAGGGGCTTGGCCCTTGTGTTCGGGATGCCCGAACTTTTCGAGGAGGCTTTCATTGGGCCCTTATTTGCTTTTAACTGCCTTTCTAATAAATACACGTGTTTTTGTAGATTGTAAGTTTTAAATGTGTAATACTGGCCCACACTTTCCCAATGGCACAAAAAGTTGTGGGATTTATATATCATGGCTAAACTCTCGGACAATCTTACGCATTTTGACAAATTACCTACCCACACCAATTTTACTTCTGTATGGTTCCCCATCCTATCTTATCTCTCTACCTTGCAGGTTACCCCTCCGGTAATGAATACCCTATGGCTCTGGTAAAATAGATCACTTAGATCTGTCTGGCTAGTCAGTTCAGTTCAGTTTATTCAGTCCAGTTTATTCAGTATATCACCAGCCCAATTACAGACAATACAAAAGAGTCATTTCTGTCCTATTTGTAATCCTCATGTACTTTTTTATTACAATCATCAATTCATTGATGCAATCACTGTTGAACGCAAGTTAAGTTTTAAATTGTAATACTGTCATTGGTCAACTGTTGTACTGTTGTATTCTCAATGGTTGTTTTGATGATTACCTTATCGTTATACATTCTCTTTGAAAACTTAATAAAAAGATTTATACAAAGACTTCTTCCTTAACCCTTGTGGTTCTTGATCTTGGCTAGTCTGGGTTGACAGATCTCCACTCAGGGGAGCCAGTTCTGTCTTCAGGCCTTCCTGCGGAGAATCCCCAGTGATGGGTCACCTTCTGTTCTGTCTGAGCCAAATAGCCCTCCCTGTTCTGAGTCAAACCCTTGGCCCAAGGAAGCTGACATCATCTGCTCAGACTGGCAGTGGCTCTCCCCTCTCTCTTTCTCTCCCTCTCTCTCTCTGCACCTCCTCTCCGAAAACCTGGATCTGGAGATGCCGCAGATTCCCCAGGGGGCCTTGTGCCTGCCAAGCTGGGGCCCTGCCAGGGAAACTCAGCCCTTCCCATTTAGGAATGGGGAGAATCCGCTCGTCTCGACCACAGCAACCATGAGGCCACACGTTTGGCATGACTCCTGGCAAGACCGCCTTTCCGTGGATGCCTCCTCCTCTCAAGAGTGCCAGTCCTTTGGGAAGAGGCTGCGGGCAGGGGCCATCTCGCGAGGCTGAGCCAGACTGGCATCATCTGCCCTCTTTGTCTCCTCAACGTTGGCCAACGCCCCCTCCCAGTCATGCAGCGCAAAGCTGCCCCAATGCCCAGCTCCATGGCAGGCTCGTTTGGCCTTTGCCTGGCACCACAGACCCGTTGCTGCCAGTTGCGGGGTGCTCCGTACGGTCTCCCTCTCCTACCATCTTTTATGAGTCCCGCTGTTCCCGCCACCCGCCACCCACCCCCCTCCAACTTCTCCAGGGCCGCCAGTCAATGTTCCATTGCTTGCACGGATGGTTTTGTGGAAACAGGTTTTGTGGAAACAAATCAGCTAATTAAAAACGGCAATCAGGAAATGGCTTGATGACTGTCCCTGGGGCGGGGCGGGGGGGGGAGAGAGAGCTGTCTTGCTCTATCAGCCCCTCGGAATGGCAGCACTGCTGACTGAGCATTGGCTCTGCTGCATGCGTCTACACAGACACACACACATACGGCACATGCAACGAATGCAAATGGCTCTCTTCGGACCTGGAGACAGCCAGCTATGGTGGCCGGGGTGGAGGGGAATAAACAGCTAAGTGCTTTCCTGGATCCCCTCCCAGTGCTGATGGAAGAAGGCTCTGCTCCGCCTGGTGCATTACAGGGGACGGCTCTCGTGGGACTCCCTGTGGCCCCCAGGCCCTCCTCCGACAATATGTCTTCCAGCAGTCACCAGGCCACTGGAGAACGGTCCTGCAGAGAGCCCCCAGAGTGCTCGATCTTTTAAAATTAAAAATTCTATATATATTTATTGACATTTCATTTTAAATTACTCACTGTAAGAACATAAGAGACGCCAAAGGCCCATCCGGACCAACACTCTGTCACACAGTGGCCAAAAATACCAGGTGCCACTGCCATCAGGAGGTCCAGCAGTGGGGCCAGGACATTAGAAGCCCTCCTGTAACATAACAGATTTTCCTATGAAACATATCACAAGAAAATTGACAGGTAGAAATTCAACAGGTAAAGTTTTTTCCATTTACATCTTTGTAATAATTGTTTCAAGAGAGTCCTTTTAACCCTAAGGAAGTGTTCCCTCACATATAGTGTCTCTGCCAGCTGACCCGACGGACCTCCAATTATAGATCCGTTTCTTTCTTTTTTTTAATTATTATTTGTAACTTTATTGAGCATAGAAACAGTTGTACAACAATAGAAAAACAGAACAGGCATACAATAAATATATAATACAGTTCCCTTGCTCGAAAGCCAGTCGAATCCGACTCTAGGGTTGCGGTGCTCATCTCTGTTTCTAAGCCGAAGAGCCAGTGCTGTCCAAAGACGTTTCTGCGGTCATGTGGCCAGCATGACTAAACACCAAGGCGCACGGAACGCTGTTACCTTCCCACCGAAGCGGTACCTATTTATCTACTTGCAATTTCTTGCTTTCGAACTGCTAGGTTGGCAGGAGCTGGAACTAGAGATGGGAGCTCACTCCATCATGCGGCACCCGGGTCTCGAACTGCTGAACTACCGACCTTCCACAGCCTGCAGTTCAGCGTCTTAACCACTTGAGCCACCGCAGCTCCGCACAATACAGTATGAACTGACCTTCTTAAGAAGCAGAAATATAATTACTTATTGTACAACGTAGCACTAAAAATGTGTTAGGGGAAAAAAATGGTTTTTAGTTCAGAGTGCTCGATAAAAGAATAATGAGACGCACAAACTGAAGAAGGAGGTGTGCCCGGCTCCCCTCCCCGCATGGTAAATAAGCATTTTGGAGAGTGTCAGAGACCCTCTGTGAATATCCTTATATGCATTTCCCATGCAAGCCGTCTGTCACTGCTGCTTTTCAAGCCGGCTCCTCCTGTGCAGGTTTTACAACAACGCATTCCACTCAAGGAGGAAAGCGGCAGCGATAGAACCTCCACAAACTGTGCTGTGAAAGTATGGCTGCTCAGAATGTGGACAAAACATCGACTTGTACATAGGAAGGAGCCGCTTAGGGAGGG